AGTATTGATTGTCATAGTTTTAAAAAAAACCCTCTTCTGTATACGTATTTAATTTTTTTAAAATTAATTAACAGTTATATACTTTATTTTAATAATTATATAATTATAATTTCTTTTGCAAAATTTGACCATGAAAAAAAAATATTTTTTAATATTGAATTTTTAACAGTTTTATATTTTGTTTTATGTTTTTTATTTTTTTTAAATTATATAATTAATGCATAAGACAATGCAAAAGTATGCATACTCCCCCCCAAAAAATAAGAATAATATATAAATTTCGCATCCAATAAAAATTAACACAAAAAATAGTATATAAATCTTTACTTTGAAAATGAGATAGGTATAATCAACTCTCCGTCACCTTGAACCGTTGCCATACATTCTTGTTCCTCAACTGAGAAAACACTTTTCTCAATTAGAACCACACGATTCCATTATTTCAGAACGATCTTGGTGTTCGTGCACCTTGCGTTTTTTTTTTTAATATCATTGACTCATGATTAAATAAACATGAATATATATAAATAATAATCACAAAAGTGAAAAATATAAAGTTAAATGAATAGAGCGATGGTTTAAAAATAAATATCATTATCTGATATGAAACAAGTTTGAAGCAAAAAAAATGTTTATTTGTGTAGATCAATGGGTTAACCAAATAAATACTTATGATTAACAGAAATAAAAATGACTACAAATTTATGTATTTTTATTTTTTTCATTAATTAATTTTTTTTACACTTTCTCATCCAGAAAGTGTCCGTTTCGATTAACGAATAGGTACAAAACGCTGGTCAGAGTGGAGAAAACACAATCACTATCTTTTTCATGGTGTTTTTAAACCATTTATATATCAAGATCATTTTATCTATTTATTTAGAAATATTTCTAAAATATTTTTATTTTTAAGGTTTATGGTAACCTTTTTTACAGTACTCGAATATACATAAAAAATGTTTCTTAGTATATATAATGTATTCCAATGCTATTTTTTCTAATCAGCATATTCTAATTCTAAAATTTGCTGCTTCACTGATGAAAAGGTCAGCATGTTATGTGGAATTTAGACAAACTATAAAGCTTTCGGTGTAATTTTTCCTACTAAGAATTTTATACATAAAAAAAATATATATTTAATTAAAATAGTCAAAAAGGTTCTTTCGTATTTTTATTTAAATTAATAGAAATTACAAAAAATAGATTTTAAAGAATAAATAATTTTACTTTTTTAAAATTATGACAAAAAAAAAAGTGGAGATCCTTGCCCTGCATTCCATTAGTTTTACCCTTTCTGTTTGTCTAATTGTAGGATAGTTATTTGGTCGATTGAGATGCATCTCTAAAACTCTCCTTTGTCTGTAAAATGATGATTAAATTGATGAACACTTGCATGATCTTATGATAGAGGTCAAAAAAGGAATCAAAGGGTGTTTTGCCAATAATAGAGATGAAAGTATCCCATCAATCCCATCTTTGTGGTCAACAAGTCACAGTACGTATAGTGCTCTTTCTGGTCGTTTACGGAAACGTACTAATCATATTCACGACGGAAAATCTCATTTCTGCATTTCATTTTTAAGTGTAGAAGACAGAACAAGGTTCAAAGGGTCTTACTCAGTGACAACGCAATATACTGTTTTCGTCAATTACGTAAATAGTGCCATCTTATTCCAAGGAAAATGTCCACTCTGTATGTCATCCATTTTTAAGTGGAGGAGCTAACCATCTCAGAATTCAAACTAAATTTTTCAATCAATATAACCTAATAATAATAATAACAATAACTCAATATACCTTCAAGAGTAATCTCATCCTATACTTATTATTTAAGAGTTAATGTTAAACATAATTGAAATATATCTTTTTTCTATTTTTTGTTGTTCACATTTTTAATAGTTCAATAACAGGTGATATTATAAATCTAATAAACAGTGAATTTTTAAATAATAAATGATAAAATAAATTTAACAAACAACTAATTTTATTATAATAAATTTTGAATAACTTTCGTACATCTTAAAAAATAATTTTAATTATAATTTAATCTTATCGACTTATAAAAAAAGTTTATACTAATTTATATATTTTATTTTTTTTAATTAATAATGTCTAATAAAAAATTTCAGACTTCAAAAATGAATAATATATTAAATAAGATAATTATCATCTAAACCGATTTGAAGTTTGAACACATACAACAGCGATATACAATACTGGTTTGAGAGTGGACGGAAAATGATTGAAACTAACCAAAGATAAACGTATCTGTCGGTGGAAAATCATTAACCATGAGCCAATGCATTTGTAGAGATGCGATAGACAGTGACCAGAGAGCTCAGAAGATGCGATCGCGAGAGCCATAAGCCAGAAAAATAAAACTTGATTTTGATTTATTTTTTGTGGATAAACGTAAATAATACAGTGATTTTACTATTTTTTTGTTTTTGTTGCTATTTTCATATTCTACTTTTAAACTTAAGCACCGATACATTGATCCCGTTTTATATACCATGTGAACCAACGGCGGTTTGAATGCGATGAAACTTAAACTCGACGGTGCCGGCATTTAGTAGTTTGAAGATCATAATCACAGTGCATGCTCCACTTTACTACATATGTTTCTTTTTCTAAATTCGACTCTCTACCGACTCTCCCATTTCATCAAATAATAACTACGACTAATAATAGTGTGCACGTGTGCATGTTTGGCTGGTCGAGACAAACATGTTAGGAGCTACCAATTTTGGGGTCTTGCTCGCCCCTTTCTTTTGTACCTTCCTGCAAATTATTTATTCTCTTATGGTCCCTCACTCTGTCTCGTTTCACCTCCTTTCTTTTCTGGTCAAGTTTTACGGTATTCAATCAGTTTCTATGTAACATGTTGTACTAGGACCGGGCAGGGAATCTGTCATAATCATAATTGTCCAATCACGTTACCTTGCCGTTCGCCATCAGGATGGGTCGGACAACGATAGACCGGACGTCCGTAGGTTTATGATGATCCAATTACACGACATTGCTGCTCACCATCCGGATGAACAACAACTCATATGAAGCCGGCCGGCCACATAGCCAATTAACCTGATTGCCTATATGGGTCGGAGGATCATACTTCGGAAGACTGACCGACCACATCGCCAATTAACCCGTTTAGGATTAAGATTAAGGTAAATAGTCACTAAAAGGTATTTGACTGAATTTAGGCCGTGATTAACTTTTCACTAATCCCAAGCCCATAGCAAAAGCTATAAATACAGATCTAGGATGAGTGACAGTTAAGTTGCATTTACTACACATTTATTACTGTTCTATTGAAAACGCCATTGTTCTCAAACTGACTTTGGCATCGGAGAATCTTTGACAGGTCTCCACCCGTATACAGAAGAGGAAATTGAAGAAGGAGAAGCGAGAACCGGACGGCCAAAAGACGAAAAGAAGAAGACGTAGAGGTATTAGACGACTCAGCCCCTACAACCAAAACACATGTTATTGTTGTTTTTTTAGTTTATCACCAAAAACTCGATTACGTCACATGTAAGTATCGAGCGAGACTACAGTGATTTAAGATTACGAAACAATTTGTCGTAATTTTTGAATCTTCTAGCATTGGTCCATACCGGAGTGGGTGATTGTCCTACGACCACGTTTTACAACTAAGAAACGCGTAGCAAGCTAGCTGCACACGGTTTTGGAGGTTGGCCACTGGAGAGAATCTTCAATGACCTAACTATTTTATACAAGCTTCGACTTAGTTTTCATAGTGTGTTTGTTAGGTCAATTTTTCTCTAATATAATGCTATTCCTATGTACATCTTCCACTTTAGATTTTTCTCTCGTCGTTTTAGATTGGGGTTTGGATTTCCTGCAAATCTTATGGGGTCTGTACATCATCATCGTATCTCCAAATAATTAATTTATGGGTTTGGATTTGCAAGCTTTTGTGCTTATATAATTAATTTATATATTATTGAAACGTGATAACAATGTAAGTGCAAACGCAAACTGTGTATGTTTGGTTTTAAAATCTAAATAATAGATAATCTGTGTATACTGAAGACAAGACAGAGAATCTTTGAAGCCTGCAAAAGTAGACACATGTGCATCATGACATTCCTATTAGAGCTTCTATCGAATTGATTTGATTAGTGAATCATTGTCACGCTCCATACCATAATTTTAGTATCGGAGAAAGATTTGGTGCAATCATGTTATGCCGCCTGAGTTGCATGCGCATGTAAAGGGATTAACTAATCACATCTATAATTAATGGCAATCTTATTCTTATAAACGATATCAAACAATAACCCTATCCATTATAAAAAAATTCATTTCGTGTTCTTCAGAACAGTATCACCTTTAAGTTTTAATATTAAAAGTTTCAAATGTATTTTAAAAAAAGATAGTTTATCGATCCAAAATAAATAAGATACCAACTACTAAAATCTCAAGTTAAAAATGTTTTGTTTGCATTTCGAAGTAGATTTATATACAATTTAAAATGGACAAAATTTTTATACATTTTTTTTCGGGTAAGTTATATATGTCCTTTTGTATTTTTATACGAAATTAAGATAGTATTTTCCGTATTTGCTTTTTTTTTCTGTTTTTAGGAGATTAGTTTGTTTTGTTTTTTTTTTTTGTTTTAGTTATTCTATATTGAAGTTCCCTCACAAATTAGTAAAAGTGTGTAAACAAAATTTCAAGGTTAATTAAAAAAATAAAAATTATAAATAGGCCAAACAACAATTAGAAATGCTGTACAGTGAAAGAATTGTGAGAGATTTTCCTGTTGGTGATTCCTAAAGTATGTGTAGAAATGAATAGGTTGGCTTAAGCATTTCCCTGTTGAAGAGTCGTGCTTGGTTACTCCCTCAGGCCTGGCCCATCATATATTCATGGACAACTGTTTTCGGCTATTTCAGTCAAAAAGCCCAATTACCTATATGGGCTATTATTACATTATAATGGGTCCAGAATTTGGTAGTAGTTATATTTTCTGTAGCACCGCATTCACACAGAAGAGGTTTAGTTTGGAAATCTAATGGCACAACAGCTATTACTGAACTCGTGTCCACATCAATATGTATCGCTTCGGCGGGTCAGAATTTCGAAGCCATCGATATGGGTCACGAAACCGACTATCGTTTCTTCACCATCATTTTCTACCTCAGCTCCTCTTCGCAACGCATCGTTTTGCTGCAGCTCTAGCGCTACCTCTTCTGTCGAACCCGATTTATCCTCTTCTGCCAAAATCTTCGTCAAAGGTAAGGTTTCTCGCTCTATCTCCATTTTATTTCACTGAAATTCTCCGTCCAATAGCTTGCGCTTCAATTTATCTTGCGCGCAATACAAGGTTTAAATTCTTTTTCGTTCTGGGCATCTAATGCAAGAGACTTGTTCTTACTTTAATTTGCATCGGCAGATTTCATGCAACTAAAAGGAACATACGTAGTAGTTGTAAAAGTATCTGATTTGAAATTCCCTGTCATTATTGTGCAGACTATTATTTGGAAACATTTGCTTCTGATACAGGGAAATGTCTCATCTAAAGTGTCATTGTCGCCAAAGTGAGCAAATAGGGTCATATCTAGTCTTGAATTTCAGTGGGTTAAGATCATTATGTATGTTTAATTACATCAAGGACTAACGAACAATTACTTGTGCACTTTTGAGAGAAGCTCCCTTTGAAGCTTAAATTGTTAAAAGACTTGTAAGTGAAAAGAGTTTCTTTGCTTAGTTGGGATTTATAGATGATAAATCCTGGCACGGGCTACTTAAGGCCAGCCCAATTATGCCCTTCTTTCAGTTAGCATTTTGTCATTCTAGTCGAATATTTAAAAAATGCAAATTAATAAGAATGAGTTGAATGATTTTTAATCAATGATAACTTACGGACACCAGACACGACGTCAATGTTGCTCTATGCTTGCAAATATTTACAAATTTGAATGCCTCCCTTCTAGCCTGGTATCCTCTTATTTATAGAAATGATGGGTCTGGCTTATGATATCCCTCTAATTAGTAACCATGAGAAGTGTTCAGAGTGGATGCCACCTCACTCCTTTGGTTAGTGTCAAACTAGCCAAAAGAGAGTTTCCTAAGGAAAAGCTCTAGAAGAGCACCTTACTAAGAACCCATACTTGTACACTAATGAGTGTTTTGAGGGATCACCAATAAGATACAACTGCAATAAGATATGAGTCCATTTTATGTAAGGGATTGACATTATCTTTAATTCAAAATCTTAATACAACAAGTTTGTGAATCTTCTTTCTTATATACTAGTCAACTTTCTCATATTTACTCAACAAAACACTCAACTCACATTTAGATTTTCAACAGTAATAAATTAGGGAACTAGCTTATCGGCAGTCGGCCTTCAGTTCTTAACATATGTTGATATGCTTGCATGGTGATATGATCCAAAGGCTGGCATCCCAACTTTGAGCCGAACCAGAAAAAGTTAACCAAATTTCAGGCTTGGTTTTGGTTAGCCCAGCCCACACACTTTATTAGGTTATTTGAACATGACCCATTTTTGCATCTTTATTAGGAATGCAAAACTACATGCTAGAATTTCACAAGTTTTTTAAGAGTATAGACTATCCTGGACAGTGTGCCTTTTCTTCAATACTAAGTATTATTTCCGTTTTGCTAATATCTTGTGTGGATGTCATGTCACCAATCATCTAATAAATAATCTTTACGACTGTTGTTTTGCATGCGGACAACGGTAAAATGTTGAGTAGATATTTGATTGATCCACTATCTGCAATGTTAGACTTGTTAAGTTATCGGCATTTTGTGATGAAAATCATTAGACTGAAGTTTTCATGATGGGCCATTGCAGGGCTACCTCACTCAACCTCTGAAGGAAGATTGATGAAGGTGTTTTCAGAGTTTGGTGTAGTTAATCTCGGTAATAATATATCCTTTCACTTTTTGGCAGTCTTGAAAGGACCTTTAGTTTTAATTAATTTTATCTTATGGCAGTCCAGCTTCCTATAGATGAAAAATCAGGAAAGTCTTTAGGATTTGCATTTATTTGGTTTGTAAAGGAAGAGTCTGCGCAATTGGCTGTCCAAGAGATGAATGGAAAGGTGTGCATAACTTTTTAGAGTTTCCAACTGTAAGAGATAACCTATCTCATCCATACTAAAATGATTTTGACCTGATAGCTGGATTTTTGTTGCAGTTTTTTGATGGTAGATTTATTTATGTTACTATTGCAAAGCCTGGATCATTAAAAAATTCGAAGAGCACGACAGCCTACAAATTTTAATCATATGAGCAGTTGCTAATAGCATCTTTTCATAACTAGCAATTTTATATAATGTAGTCACTAACGTTCAATGCTACACATTCTACTCCATAGCCTCAGAATTGAGGGACCCCTTGATTTGAAAAGTTAGTAAAATTTATTGCAAAAAGAATCACTTATGTGTGGGTATACATAGAGCCTTTCTATAACCCAAAAAAATACTTGGAAAGTTGCTGATCAAGAACAAGAAGCAGTTCAAGCCACCAGTGGAAGGGGTCCAGGGTTTTACTTTCTATCTTCCAGTACCTGCTTTGATCACTGTCATGACCACATTCAAGGCTGCAGATGATCAGCCTGTGGAGCTGCAAGCGTGGGATCAACATGAAAGAAGATCCACACGTTCAAGCCAAGGTCTTCTCCTCCTCCTCAAGTGAGTTTATTCATTTAAGAGACTATTTTTTACTATATCAAAAGACAGTTTTCTATTAAGAAAAAAGTTGCTCAAAGATGTCCCTAATGTCATGTCTTATTGGTGTTGGTGTTGAATCTTCCAATTTAGTTGTGTTAAGTATGTCCTGTACATCTCTTAATTACAACTAGTCGCAGAAAGAAATTGAGATTGTCCATTTATCTTATCTTTTAAGTAAGCAGTAACTCAAGCAGTCATGTGATAAAAAAAAACGATTATGAATATTTTTGAAAAAATATTATCCAAAATTTAATGAAATCTAATTTAACAACTTCTATATCTTTAACTTAAATATATATATATATATATATATATATATATAAAATACTATTTTAAATTGTAATAGTTGTGAATTAATGATGATAGTAATAAATACAAATTACAATAATAATTTTTAAATTGTAAATATTTTTATTTTTGTTATAAAACATAAAACAAAATGAGTGTCCAATTAATTAACTTAGTTTTGATGTTTATTATTGAAACTAACATTTTTCTTAGATGGACAAACACAACATAATTAATCATTGTAGTTGTGTTAGATAATAGGTTTAATCATTTTCGATGTCACTTTTTATGTAGATTTGTTTCAAATTGGTCATTCAGTTAAATTTTAACTCAATTAGGTCACTATTTGTGCAAAATTGATTCAATTGAATCTTTGTCGTTAATTTGAATGAATGACACTAAGTTTTGAGTCACGTGGCATGCTGATTTAGCAAATGTTAACCACATGGCAGTGACTTGGTGGTGTTACGTGAGTGTGTAATTTTCAAATGAAAAATCAAATGAAAAAGAAATGAGAATGCGAACATGCCAGGATCCCTAATTAGAAAGGGTACTTGAGTTGTTCTTGATTGTTCTTGTGCGGCGTGAGTGATTGGGTGGTGAATGTAGTTCTTCTTCTTTGAAGAGAATGTTGAACAACTATTCATGATGTTCTTGATAGAAGGAAAACCCTAATGTCTCTTTTCGTGGTGGTGGAGGATCTAGGAATTTGTACCAATTTGCCACTGTAGACACAAATATGTGTTGAGAACTGTTACAACTATGAAGAATTGAGGGAACTTTCCCTATCTTTTCATGAATAGAAAGATAATCTTTTGAACCACTTTGATGCAATCAGAACCCTTCTTCTCTCGATGAAAGGACCCTCCTTCAAAGTACTTACTTATGACTGATTTGAGAACAATTTCGATTTTCCATCAAAGTGACTAGACAATCCCCTCCTACATTGCTTATCAAAAATCCCAAAACATCCCCCATATTAAATACCACAAAATTTGAATAAAATATTTCAATTCAAGACAACCCAAAAGAAAAAGAATCAAATCAAATGAGAGGGTTTAAAGAGTGCGAAAGTAAAGGAACTAATTTGATGGGAAGAGAATCTTCCATGACATCCAAAGACCCCAACCCAGTTCGTATCTTCAACTTGCTCTGCACTTCTTCCTCCTCGTTGTCACTATTGTCGGGGCTTCTGATCAATGGTGAAGTCTTTAACTCGTCGTCGGCAAAGAACTTGGTCGAGCCCGAGATTCGAATGTTTGAACGGTCATTTTCTGGTGACCCATTAAGAAAGTTTCGATCTTTGGAGTTTCTGTTCGTCAGAACATCGATGGTGAAAGTGGGACCTACCAGAACCTTCATTTGTATTCACCTTCTTGTCAATAGAAAAGCTTAAAGTAAAATGAAACAAAGCCTCTCCTGAAGCGGCGATTAGGTCACCCTTGTCCTCTTCGTCTTCTCCTCCTCCTCTTAGGCTTCCACATAATGGGATTACTTGTCATCAATCTGTACACTCCGAGAGATACAAAGAGATAAAAAGAGAAAGTTGCAAGAGATAGAGATAAGGCCGAAAAGAAATTAAGTTTTACTTTTTTAAAAATTAAAATAACTACATTCCAAGTAATGTCATTAAGTCAAACATACCACGTAATGTGACCTACACTGTCACGTGGTTAACATTTGCAAACTCAGCATGCCAGGTGACTGAAATCTTAACGTCGTTCACTCACATTAACAGCAAGGGTGCAAATGGATCAATTTTGCACAAACAGAAACTTAATTGAGTTAAAAGATAATTAAAAAACAAATTTGGGTGTTACTCCCTCCACTACCACATTTTCTCCCTCCACCTCCCCAATTATATTACATATTTTTTGAATTACAAAACTAACCTTTTATAATTACAAAAATAACCTTTATACTTTTTAATCCTAATTATTTACTTTAACCCTAAAATCTATCTTTCTACCCCTTCTCACTCACCTCCCAACCTTCTCAGATTCTCACCCAAACTCCATCATATTCGTTTCTCATCTTCCATTTTTCCTCCATATCAGTTTTCTTCCTCCTTCCGCGGTTCGGCGGTGGGGGCGGTGTGCGGCGCGACAGTGCAACAATGCGGCAGTGAGAATCCGTAAAAAAAACTGTAAAATATAAACTGTAATCTTTAAACGGATGTTAACATCCGTTGACGGATGCTCACATCCGTTTAAAGATTACGGTTTATATTTTAGGGTTTTATTACGCACCTTCACGCCTTTGAACCAGCACCTTGAAGCACCACCACACTCACGACTGAAGATGAATTGCTTTCCACACTTTCAATCTTACTAAACACAAAGTCCACCACACTCTCACGTCACAATTCTATAAAAGAGAAGAAGAAGTGGAACATGAGAGACAATCCAAGGATAGTGGGACGTAAGAGACAACCTGGAAAAAATAATAAAGAGAAAGAGGGAAGAATGATAAAGAGAATGAATGTCCACGTGAGATTTTAAATAATATTAACCCTAAAATTTTAATAAGGGTAAAATAGGAATGGAAAAATAAAGAAAAGGGTAAAAGGAGAATGGGGTGGTGGAGGAAGCAAGTTGTGGTGGTGGAGGGAGTAACACACAAATTTGAGACATTTATGCATAGACAGGGACATCTAAACCTAGATAATAAATTATTTACATGTTTAACTCATTACTAGACAACTTCAAAATGTTAATGATATCTTTTGGACAACTTTGCTCCAAATAGAAATCTAACTATGGGGATTATAACTAAAAATGTTGTGTAATAAACAAATTAAATGTTATGAGTATCATGTAATGCGATATTGATATTTATGTTTCAAAGAAGCTTAAACCAAATAATTATGTTTCACTAAGTTATTATGTCTTGTAAGTATTTTATAGATACATGTTTATTTGATTCATGTAATCATGAACAACATAATTGATTAACTTTTATAATACATTTTCATAGATGATTACTTTCATTTTTTAGAATAAATTTTTATATTTCACAATAACTTACCATTACCATACTTATTTAGAATTATATATACTAAGATATTTTATTTTTTTAATAAAATGAGAAATTATAAAATTATATATTTACATAATATATATATATATATATATATATAATATTATAATATTATAAATATTGAGTTATAAAATTTCTTTATAATATCGAGATTAAAAAGGATATTAAATTTGTAAATTGAAAATTGTGAATGTATTTTGATCTGATACAAGTCAATTAAATTTAGATAACTAACAAAATAAAACTAATATTGATGACGTTAGCAAGAATAACAATGGGTATAGTAATGATTGAAGAAATTTTTATTGATTAAAGTTTTTTTCTTCATTCAATGATATTATTATTACTATAAAAAAATTTCATTATTGATAATCATTTGTCACAGTTGGACAATTATAAATGATAATTTTGATGATGGTAATTATATTACTATAACATTGAAAAGAAATATCGTAACAATATAAACATTATTAAAAATTATTAAAAGTAATTTTGGAAGTTTTAACTTTTTTTGATTAATTTTAAAATTATTTTATACAATATTTGATTAAAACTACTAGAATGACCGTCGATCATATAATAATTTATTCGAAATTAAACTTAGAAATAATTAAAATTTTGGATGTGAAAAAACAGTTGTACTTTTCTTGTAATTAATAATCTTTTGGACTAAATACAAATTATTAGATAAAGTCTACTCTTATCATCTTAAAAAGAAAAAAAATATTTGTATTGCATGTACACTATGATACCATGTTGAGTTTTATACTGATCGATCCACTCCGTACAATGTTAGTATTAAGGACGTTGGATGAAGTTGTTCTAAGTAATAATAAAGTGATAACTCATGCGAAAGGCTGATGTACGAAGGTGACAAAAAGCTTAAAACACAAAAATAAGAGGTACCAAACTGATAAGTAATTTTTCCCAATATTTGGGTGTGGTTGACCAGTTGTCAACACATGCATAGCATACATTCTGTCAATATAATTAATTACTATTTTTTGGTTCATTGCTCATGAATTTTATTTATCATTTCTGAGTAAAGAGTGTCTTGCTTGTTCAAAAATGATTATTTTATTAAAAATCATAAAAATATGTTTTTGTATATCTTCATAGAAAATAACTTTTCACTCTCCCTCTTAACCGTACAAAAAATTGGCATAAATTAATATTATATAGTGAAAGAAGATAACAGCTTTATTTATTTATTTTTTTTGCATAGAAAGGAAGAATTGTCCAATAACGAAGTGAGGTGGATCTGTTGTGTGATTGGGTACTGTGTTGTGGATCACCATCCAATCCCGATCGCCTGACGACTCAGCCTAACGATTTTCTCAGAATTAGAATCGGATTTAGAATCGGAATCAGAATCAGAGTGAAACGATGAGGGTGGTGAGTGCGTTAATGGTGGCTCGGATGTTGACGCGGGACCACTCGCTCCCGATGCTTGGCAACGAAAGCATACCCTTCGGATCGGTTTGGTGGTTCATCTACGCCGGAATCTCATGTTTGCTCGTCCTCTTCGCCGGCATTATGTCCGGTCTTACCCTCGGTCTCATGTCTCTTGGTCTCGTTGACCTCGAGATTCTCGAGCGAAGCGGTTCTCCTGCTGAGAAAGCGCAAGCTGGTACTTCCTCTTTCCTATATCCTTTTTCTCTCAATCTTCGAATTTCATGTTATACGTTAATCATTGTGCGCGTGGTTGTATGTATGTATGTATATGCAGCTGTTATACTTCCCGTGGTGAAAAAACAACACCAGCTTCTTGTCACTCTGCTTCTCTGTAATGCTGTTGCCATGGAGGTAATTAGACAGCATTGTTTCCTTTTCCTGTAATTAATTATCATTCTCACTTA